TTAATATAATACACATTCCTAAGACGCATCCCAAACCTCAGGAATCAGAACCTGTAGGAATGAGACCTGGGATTCCATAATTTTAAACAAGCATTGCCGTTAAGTCTCATGATCTGATACATCTGAGAAACACTGCCCTATATCATCAGTTGTCCAATTTTCATGCTAAAAAATAATCCTAGGCAAATTAGCGTTAAAGCCTCCTTCCTTTCTGTCTCCTCTTGTCACTCAGTCTTAAGGATTAGATAAAGGAATCTCGTTTAAAATGATCTGGCTTAAAAAGTGTGTTGAAAAATTATGTTGGTAAATTTTCCAAGTAAGGCAAAAAATAAAGTAAAAACCTGCATAATTAACTAAGCAGACACCCTAATACTGCTATTATGGAAGCCTAGTACATTTGATGAAGTACAGTTTCAGAAATCAGGCTATTTCTTCTTGATCTAATGCCACTTCAATGTATTTTTTAAAAGTCTCTTGCAATAAATAATTATTACAAAAATAAATTTATATGAATTGTCCAAAACTTATTTTGCAAGTGTATAATTTTTATCACAAAGTGAATAAAGCTCTTTAGCTATTTGAACTAAATTCAGATTAACAAGGAATGCAGCTGTACTATCTGATTACATTACCCAAGGAAATTGTCTTGTCAGTGTGATAGTACCTTATTCTGCTCGGCTATCTTTCAATGCTGACAGCATGTCTTCATGAATATGTATAAAATGGAAGGAAACCTATTTTACAAAAGGTTATTTAAATTAAACCAGTACATACCAAAGGATTTAGACAAATTATCCTGTGCCCAATGATGCAAGGATTTTGGACTAGAATGCCATATCACGTCAATTTGTGTGACAACTTTGAGTGTAATTTGTAAGAGTTACAGAATATCTGTACACTGTCTGAGATAATCCTTCTGTACCTCCCCTTCCAGCTACCCCCACCCAAGACACAACATCCTGGATCCATTGCAGGTATAGATGTTGGGATGCTAACTCACAGAAAAATCATTTAACATCTGTTTTTATAAAAGTGAACAATGCCATTTTGGATAGTCTGTGGATGTCATAGACGGTAGTTATGTAATGAAAGCTTTGGACATTTTTAAACATTTACACATGCAAGGCTTCAGTGTTTGGCCATGTAGGGACATTTGCTACTTAAGGGTAGACCATGTATTGACATTTACTTTGTGTTAGACATTGTGTGCTTTAGGTTGGTTCATATTATTGTATAAAATACTTTTTAAAAAAATCCCTGTGTGTCCTCTCTCTTCTGTCTACTTTTCTTTTTTCCTTCATTCTCTGTAACATTCTTTACATGCTCTGGAACATGCTCTACGCTTTCCTGCCACAGACCCTGCAACACGCTCTTTACTCTGCCAAAAACATTCTCCTTTCTGAATGAAACATCATTCTTCTGATGTCTGTAACAGCAGAAGATAGTTTTGAGGTTACTTAGGACAATAGTCTCTATATATGATTTAACACACACAGTTTTTCTACTACTTTTTCCTTTTCAGAACCTATATTTTAATCCTGGACTTAGAATATTCTTTTTAATGTTCACAGATTCCTAAAATTCTGTATTTTTCTTCACTCTGTGGAAAGGAAATGACACTCTTATTACTATTCATGTCTAATAAACAATGTATTACTTAAGATGCATATTCAATTTGAAAAATGTTTCTTTTGTGTTTATAATTTGTAGTTTTAACAGATTATTTTTTCCTCACTATTGTATGGCTGTCTGTATATTATTTTTAAGCTGGCCAAAGCTTAGGTCAGATACAATAAATTCAGCGAGATCAGTGACTGAGTTTGTTTTTCCTTCAATAGTGCAATCAATAGCATAGTGCACTTAATAGATACACTACTTAGTGACCCATTATTCATTTATTCATTCATTTACCAAGCACCTTTTATATGCCAGACACTTTACTAGGTGCTAAGGATACAATGGATAAGGGAAAAAAACGCTCAAACATGGTCTCTACTCTTACAGACTTTTACAGAATAGTCATGTGGGGAGAGAGACATAGAATAATAACTTCATGACACAAATGAGTGTGAAAAGAGTAATGGGTGAGAGGAGTTATTAAGGACATCTTTACATGGGTGATCACAGAAGTCTTTCCTAAAGGAGTGATCACAGTTCCAGGGCTTGAAAAGTGAGAAAAAAATTGCAGAGAAGATAGGGGTGGGGGAGAATGTTTTTGGCAGAGTAAAGAGCATGTTGAAGGGTCTATGGCAGGAAAGGGTAGAGCATGTTCCAGACACTAGAAGAAGCCTGGGTGGGTGGAGGGAAAAGCATGAGAAGCCTCTGCAGAGCAGAGAGTATTCATATCAGGGGAGGCCTTTTAGGCACATTAAGGAAGTTGAGGCCAAGTGTGGTGGCTCACACCTGTAATCCCAGCACTTTGGGAGGCTGAGGTGGGAGGATCTCTTGAGCCCAGAATTTTGGGACCATTCTGGGCCACATAGTGAGATCTTGTCTCTACTAAAAATAAAACTAAAAAACTTACTGGGCCTAGTGGTGCGTGCCTGTAGTCCCAGATACTCGGGAGGCTGAAGTGGGAAGATCGCTTGAGCCCAGGAGGTCAAGGCTGTGGTGAGCCATGTTTGTGTCACTGTACTCCAGCCTGGGCAACAGAGTGACACCCAAACTGCCAAAATGTTTTCCAGAGTGGCTGTACCCTTTTGCATTCCCACCAGCAATGTATGAGGGATCCACTTATTCTAATCCTCACCAGCAATTAGTAGTGTTACTATTTTTTATTTTAACCATTTGGATTGGTAATTCGTGATATCTCATTGTGGTCTTACTTTGCTTTTCCCTAATGGCTGATACTTTCATGTGTTTATTTGCTATCTGTATGTAATCAGAATGAAATGTTTCTTCATATCTTTTGCCCATTTTCTAACTAGATTATTTGATGTTGTTAATACTGTGTTCTGAGAATTTTTTATATATTCTAGCTACAAGTTCTTTGTCAGATACATGTTTGCAAACATTTTTCTCTCTACAGCTTGTTTTCATCCTCTTAATAAGGTCTTTCACAGAGCAATAGTTTTAATTCTAATGAAGTTTAATTTATAAATTTTTGTCTTTTACAGATTGTGCTTTTGGTGTTACGTCTAAGAACTCTTATCCAAGCCCTCATTACCAAAGATTTTCTCCTATATTATCTTCTAAAGGTTTTATGTGATCCATTTTGAGTTAATTTTTGTATGAGATGTGAGATGCAAGGTTTAGGTCAAGGTTCCTTTTTGCCTATGGATATCCAACTGTTTTTCAGCACCACTTATTGAAAAGACTATTCTTCCTCCACTGAATTGTTTTTGCATTGTTGTAAAAAGTCAGGTGGTCATACTTGTGCTGGGCTATTTCTGGGTCCTCTAGACTGTTACACTGATCTATGCATCTATTCATCTGACAATACCACATAGTCTTTGTGACGGCAGATACACAATACAGTTGGCCCTTGAACAGCGCAGAGGTTAGGGGTACCAATGCATATTTTGTATGTTATACATTTACAGACTGTGTTCTTATAATAAAGTAAGCTAAAGAGAAGAAAATGTTAAGAAAATCATCATGAAGGGGAAATATATTTACTATTCATTACGTGGAAGTGGATCATCATAAAAGTCTTCATCCTTCTCATCTTCACATTGAGTAGGCTGAGAATGAGGATGAAGAGAAGGGGTTGGTTTTGCTGTCTCAGGGATGGCTGAGGCAGGAGAAAATCTGTGTATATGTGGACCCAGGCAGTTCAAGCTTGTTGTTCAAGGGCCAACTGCAAGTTTTAAAATTAGGAAAAATAATTTCCCCCATTTTGTTTTTCTTTTAAACATCGTTTTAACTACTCTAGTTCATTTACTTTTCCATATACATTTTAGATTAAACTTGTCTATATCCACAAAAAAATCTTGCTAGTGTTTTAATAGGAATGTGTTAAATCTGTGTGTCAATTTGGGAAGAACTGACATCTCTATTACCTTGAGTCTCCCTTCCAGTTCATGAACACGGCATGTCCTTTCGTATATTTATTCCATTATCACTCCATCCATATTCCATTATAGGTTTTTTCCATTATCATTTCATAGTTTTTGGCTTACAAGTCTTATATGTATTTTGTTAGATTTACAACCACGTGTCTCATTTTTCTCAACAATTGTAAATGGTATTGTATTTTAAATTTCAGTGTTTATTGAGAGCATGTAGAAATAAAATAGATTTTTGTATGTTGATCTTGTATCCAACAACTTTGTTGAAGTCCCTTATTAGTTTTAGAAGGCTGTTCGTAGATTTAAAAAAAAATCTTTGTAAATTTTTTTGGAATTTTCCATGTAGATAGAATCTGTCATCTGCAAACAGGGACAGTTTTATTTCTTCCTTTCTAATGTGTATGCATTTTCTGTCCACTTCTTTCATTATTACTCTGGCGAGACCTCCCATTACTCTCATAGCAATTGTGGGAGCAAACAGCCTTACCTTGTTCTTGAGTTTGGGGATCTCATTTAAAACATTTTTTGCTACTTTCTGATAGCTTCCAATGTTTCTGAAGAGAAACCTGTCTTTTGAATTGTTTTTTCCCAGAAGTAATGCATTGTTTCTCTCTGGATGCTTTTAAAAAAACTGTTTTTCAGCTTTCAGAGGTTGAGTTATGATATATGTTGGTGAGTATGTGTTCCGTTGTTGGGGTACTTCATTACAGCCTAGCCAGGGTGGAAGTCCAGGTTCCCTATTCAGCCTTTGCTGGTGGGAGTAAGGGCACAGTTTCCTTCTGTGATTGTTGGTGGAGTAGAGGGGTTATTGTTTAAAACTTTTCTGTCTTGCTGGGCTGCCTATTTCTTGGTTCTCTGGCTACAGAGACCAAGGTTTTGGGGGCTATTTCCATCTGTGCCCATTGGTATTTCTGGATTGCTGACATCTCCATTACCCAGTCTTCATACACCCAAGGATGTATGAAGTAAAAAGAAACCCAGGGTACTTACTGCTCTGTCGTTCCTCATGTCCCAGGTCCCTAGCCAGTCTGCCTCCTTCTCTCTGCCTTTCAGAGTCATCTTGTATTTGTTGTATTCATAATGTCCAGAGTTTGTAACTGTACGTAGTGAGAAGAATAGAAAAAAAGCATGTCTACTCATTTTTCTGCAAATGGAAGTCCTTGTTGGGCTTTCAGGTCAAGGTGATGCTCGCCACATAAAAGGAGACGGTGAACACTTTCTTTTCTCTACAAGTCTTTATTTCAGGTGAAACTGTTCATCCTCACATGTTTATTGGAACTTGCCAGTGAGGCCAGTTGGACCTGAAGGGATTTTTTTTGTTGTTTTCTCTCTCTCTCTCTCTCTCTCTCTCTTTTTTTTAATAGGAAGGTTGTCAATAATACATTCGTTTTTAAAATAGTTATATTCTGTTTTCTTCTATTTTTGTTATGTATTACATATTACATATATATCTTTCTATAAGTTATCTATTTTATATAAATTTTCAAATTTGTGACCGTAAAGTTATACAAAATATATTCATTGTCATTTTTAAATATCAACCATTTCCCCCAAATATTTATAAATTATTGAAAGGATAGTACTAACCAGCATTCTTTCAGTAAATTATTTCCCCCGCTTAGTTAGCCAGAGTTGGTCAGAGTTGGATTCTCTTACTTATAAACAAAACACCTTAACTAATGCAGTTATTGTCCAGAAAATGGAGAGACATGTATAGTGTAGTTGCGGCAAATTCCTTGTCAACAAATTTCCACAAAAATGATTTCCTTCTGTTTCCTGAGAGATACCTAGAGCCTGATTTAAGAGGTGTGAGCTAAGGCCCTCCCGTTTCTTTTCAACACACTGCTAACAATTGTGTTCTCAGCAATAGGAACTGAAAAAGTGTTCATACAACTCATAAAATGTTCCCACTTCAATAGAACACAAATTATTTTGCTTTTCAGGAGTTACTACAGAAAAGTCCTAGAGAAAGAAAAAAGAAAAAAACAAAAACCCAAAAAAGTCCTAGAGAGTGAGAGGAAGGAATACTTTTTCAGTTGCTTCACATTTAGAATCCCATTCTAGCTTTGAATTTTCCATACAGTACTTGGCATAGAGTAGCACTAAATATATGATTTCTATGATTTTTGCATATATTCTTGAATGATGAGGGTTATTTGCATTTTGTAATTTTTATTAATCCACTTTCCTAAAAACGATGTACAAATGAAATACATACATGGTTTTGGCTCCCTCTGCTGGCCATTTGTATGTACTTTAGGTTTTACACAGAACAAAATCAAGACCACTATTTTTCAAATGGATTTGGAATTTTTTCAAAAAGATTATTTAAGGCTGGGTTCAATGAGATTTTTATATTTTCTTTGGAATAAAAGATGATTTCTCAAGATTTTGTTTCTTTTTTTAAAAGTCAGGGTCTCACTTTGTTGCCCAGGCTGGAGTGCACAATCATAGCTCACTGTAACCTCAAATTCCTGGGCTCAAATGATCCTCCCGCCTTAGCCTCCTGAGTAGCTGGGACTACAGGTGACAGCCACCACGCCCGGTTAACTTTTAATTTTATTTAGCTTTTTAAGATGAGGGCTCAAGCGCTATGTTGCCTTGGCTGGTCTCTAATGCCTGGCCTCAAGTGATCCACCTGCCTCAGTTCCCCAAAGCCCTGAGATTACAGGTGTGAGTCACCATGCCTGGCACTATTTAAACTTTTCAATTTAATTTTTCAAATTTATACTTTAAAAAACTTTAACATTATAACTGTTATAACATTATAACTTTAAAAAAGGATACATTTAGCACAATAAATAAAGTTTAGAAAATGTTTTAGATAAAAGGCCTGATTCCTGCTGTGTCTCTTTCTCAGGCTGTCTGTGGTGAAGGTGCCCAGTTATACAGACTGATGCCATTCCATATTGCCATAACAATGCCTCCCTCAGTCCAGTCAACTCCTCGGCCATTCTCCAAAGCAGCTATGTAAACGTTTGGCCTCTTTAACTCCCCACTTCTTTATCCTCTCCTCAATGTTGCTGTTTTCTTGGAAATGATAGAGGCCATCTGATACATAACTTTGACATGCTGATTCTTTCTCCTGCCCCCAATCCTAGTAAGAATCTCTATCCATACCTTTTTTTTTTTGGCCTCCATTCTTGTAGTTTCAGTGAAACAAGTTTCTCTCCTGTTAAAGGCCAGTCAGTTGGGATGGATACCTTTTCCCTGGGTTCTTTAGGAACAGCACTGTATCAAATATTAACATCTCTCTCTTTTCTATATCTTTGCACTCTTATTCTTTGTTGGCTTTTCATGATCGTATGATTATATTCTTATTGTTTATGTCAGCTGGGATCTTTCAACTGCAAATGGCTCTGGCTAAGATAAGCAAAAAAAAAAAAAAAAAAAAAAAAGGGGGCCCACCAGATCTAAGAAAATGTAGAAAAGCTTGGCCTCAGGAAGAAAAGATACCAGGCCAGTTTTATGAGCTGAGTAGTCACACATCATGAACTAGGAACCAACCATCAGAAACCTTGCTGAGCTGGGGGAGAGAGAGCTGAACTGTCAGGTGTCAGACTAGTTAAAACCACAAGCCAAATATGAAAGAGGTAAGCATGTAATCACTTACTGTGAAGGTATATGCAAGAATCTAAAAGGAGATTGCTGTGAGATTTAAGGAAATAATGCTTGTAAAGCATCAGAAACAATCCTGGGTACACGGCAAACATAACTTGATAAATGACGGCTATCATCATGTATTCAGAGCATCCACAGTGCCCTGTACTCACATGAATCATGACACTTTTTCACTTCACTGTTGTTTTGTGGCCTCATACCGATGTGTAAGTTCCTTAGAATTAGGAGAAGGGATGGTATTTTTTAAGTGCAAGATCCATAGCACAGAGCTTGGCACAAGGTAGATATTCAATAAATGCATGGTGGATAATGACAACATGGATTACACGTTAAGGGCATATGAAAGTAAAGTAAAATAGGCATGGTTACCAAAGGTCCTCTGGGTTTCCTAGAGAGTAGCATAAATTATTTTCATTAAAATATTTGGTTATTAACAGGCATGGAGGGGCATGCCTGTAATCCCAGCTACTGGAGAGGCTTAGGCAGGTGGACCCCCTGAGCCCAGGTGTTTGAGACCAGCCTGGGCAACATAGTCAGACCCCATCTCAACCATCTCATCTTGTTTATAATTTTTACTTTTTCATATACCGACTCCTTGTTTAAATAGAATTCGAGAGTCTGTTATACAAAAATTTTTCCTTTCCTTTGTTGTCCTATGACCACAGCATCAGCATCATCATTGCCAAGATAATTGTCTTCAAGTACTTTAAGCAATCATTGAATAATAATCTTCTTGGTTAGTTTGTCCAGCAAGAAATCCCTGTTGCACGTTAGATTCCTCAGGAAGCAGAATCTGAGATGAGATTCACATGCAGGAAGTTGAGTGCTGTTGAGTCAAATGCTTAGAAGGGATGGAAAGGAAGCAGGGTTGGGTAGAGGGAGAGATTGGGCTACAATGCAGTCATAATAAGCTCTCAGCTGGCCCCCCAGGAGCTGTGAATTTGAAATGGCTCCTCAATGTTGTCCCAAGTTGATATCAAAAGGACACAGTGATGTGCTACAGCCGGCTCATTCCAGCTTGGGAGGTGATTGTATGCATCTCTTCTCCAATGGGCATTCATTGATTGCACTTTGGTACTTGATATGGGCTATAGTAGAAACATCAACACTATAGAAACTGGTTAAATGCTACAAACAAGGGCACTGGTTTTTCTCTCTTCAGAGATCTGGTTGTTAAATATTACCAGTCAGATACAGACTGCACTGAGAAGTGGACGTGGCCTTGTACTAAGTGGTACTCTTTAGGTGAGGCAATTCCTGAAAAGAACTCACAGCTCAGCAGTGTCAGCCAGCACCCTTCACTGCAGCTGTGGGAATACATCCTTCCTCCAAAGGGAGGCTTTGGGCGGCACCGCACAGCACTCACAGTGGTACCCATGACCTATTTGTGCTGCTATGGAAAGTGTAACAGTGATAATGTTTCTAAGTTTTATAAGTGTCATTTTGACAGTAGTACTCCTTTAATACTTCAAAAAGTTGAAAATAGTTAATAGGTTTAAAACAAATATACTTTATCTTATACAACTGTTTTAGAAACAGAAAAATTGTGAAGACTGTAAAAAGTGGCCATATACCCCACATCCAATCTCCCATATTACTGACAAATGAGTATGGCATATTTGTTACAGTAAAGGAACTAATAATAAGAAATTATTGTTAGCCAAAGTCCACGCTTTATCTGTATTTCTTAGTTATTGCCCAATGTCCTTTTTCTGTTCCAGGATCCCATTGAAAATACCACATTACATTTAGTCATCATGTCTTTTTAGGCTCTTCTAGACTGTGACAGTTTCTTGGGCTTTTCTTGTTTTTGATGACCTTGACAGTTTTGAGGACTCCTAGTCAAGTATTTTGTAGAATGTCCCCAAACTGGAATTTGTCTGATGGTTTTCTCATAATGAAACCAGAATTATGGGCTTCTGGAAGAAGACACGAAGACCAATTGCCATTTTCATGACACCATACCAAGAGTACTTACTACCAACATGGTTAATCACTGATAATGTGGCCTTGATCATCTGGTTGAGGTGGTGTTTGTCAGGATTCTTCACCGTAAAGTGACTCTATCCCTACCACCCTTACAAACTGCACTCTGGAAAGAAGTCACTGTGTGTAGCCTGTAATGAAGGAGTAGAGAGTTACGCTTCCCTCTTTTTAGGGATGGCCATTTATATAAATTATTTGTAATTTTATGCAGAAAATTTTGTCTTCTCTCCCTATTTACTCAATAATTATTCAATTATTTAAATAATGGAATAATTTATTAAATGATTTGTTTATATCAGTATGGACTTGTGGATATTTATTTTATTCTTTGGTTTTAAGTTATTAGGAGTTTTTTTCAGTTGTGTTCTATGGTCCTTTAACATATCTGAATCATTATGAGTTTTAACATTTTATTTTAATTTCTCAGCACTTCCTTACTCCCTGCACTACAAGATGTCCCAGGCTCATTCTGTACTTACTGCCCCAGTCC